AATATATAATTTGCAGTTAACAAACCTTATTTTTAATTTTTTGAATAACCTCCTAAATGTTTAGATTCCCCATTTTATTCTTGAATAGCTGAATGCTTGCACAAATTTATTTTATCAACAGCATTGTGACTGCTTCTGTGATATGCATGATACATACACACGGGTTCGTCCCGGTGATGCTTTCTGCAGTGCTAGTGAAGAGAAAGTGAAGCATTTGCTTTGATTGACCTTCACTTTGAAATTGCTTGCAATAGCAGCTTATTGTTGAGGAAAGTCATGTATTTCGTATGGGTGGTGCATCCACATCCATTCTCCCCACTTGAAAGGTTGTCATTTTTTGTGTATTGTCAACAGAGGATAGACAAGATGGTGAATCCACTAATATCTGATAGGCTAACTTTCCATTAAGTGAAGCATTCAGGCAAGAGAATCTGTGTATCAGACATAGTATGTTCCACTCAAGGAAATAAAAAGAACAAAACATAGAAACTGAACCAGAGTGAGTGAATCAGAAGTTTTTGAAAGATGAAAGGAAATTCTATTAATCTTCTACATTGTACCTTGTGAGTGCTTTCACTAACTGCAGGGTATTTTGTGTCATGATCTCCATTGAAGAGCAATGTGGCCAGCATTTAATGATTACTATGTCATATGTTATTATTTTGGCTATGATTCTCTATGTTGTGCTGTATAGGGTCAAGCAGTCACCCAGTAAACCACAATATAAAATTACTTCCAAGGTCATGTCCATATTTATGAGTTGGGACTGATAGTAATATGGTAGTCCTCTATCTTGGACAGGACCTTACTAAATAGCAGATATTGTTAACCACAAACAATTCTACCAAATGTCTTTCCCATTTTGTAGGAAACTATAGGTCAAAGAATATAAATAGTTGAATTAACCGGTAGGCATTAGAGTCCATTGCATTCAATGAGCATTTACCTTGCTCTGTTGTGGGACACACACACACACACACACACACACACACACACACACACACATTCACTGACACACACTCACGTACACACAAATCTTCAAAATTCCAGCTATGTAAAGGTAAATTAAGAAGAACTTCAAAACAACCAAAAAACCAAAACAAACAAACCACTCAAGAAATGGGCACGGGAAATGGGCAAACATTTCACAAAGGAACAAGTCCAAATGGCAAACAAACATATGAAAAAATGTTCCAGCTCCCTAGCAATAAGGGAAATCCAAATTAAAACATCGATGAGGTACCACCTAACACCAGTAAGATTGGCCCACATAAACAAGAACACCAACGACGCTTGCTGGCGAGGATGCGGGGAAAAGGGAACCCAACTCCACTGCTGGTGGAGCTGCAAATTGGTACAGCCTTTATGGAAATCAGTCTGGAGAACACTCAAACAACTCAAAATCTGCATAACATATGACCCAGGAATAGCACTCCTAGGAATATATCCAAAACACCTGTTTTACGACAAACCAACATGCATCCCTATGTTCATTGCAGCACAATCAGTAATTGCAAAAACATGGAAGCAACCGAAATGCCCATCAGCAGAAGATTGGATAAGAAAGCTTTGGTTCATCTACTCCATGGAATACTACTCAGCTATTAAAAAAAACAAAATGCAGTTCTTTGTGGCTAAATGGGCACAACTGGAAACTATAATGCTAAGGGAAATGAGCGAATCCCAAAAGATTAGATACCACATGTTTGCCTTGATTTAACCTGTAATTTTTTTGTTTGGTTGTTTGTTATTTTTTGAACCTGTCATTGATACTGTCTCAACCCAGATGTTTCGAAGAAGGGAACTTGCATTATTTTAAACATATTGTTTACCCAATACTATGTCAATTAATTCCATAATGTTGTATATTGATACTGAGGCCTTGTTGGGGCTTTTAACTGACCGGATCTTTACTCTGTTAGACCTATCTTCAGACCATAGAAGGTCTCCCCAAGAGGCCACTGAACTTATCTGGACAATAAGACGCTGAACTTTATGCTAGGCATGTGTTTGCAAGCAATGAATCTCAACTGAACTTGAACTGTGGTTATGCAACTAGGTGGAGGGGTATGGGAGGGGTGGGGGGAATCCCCAGCGCCTATAAAACTATACTACATAATACAATGTAAGCAACAATAAAAAAAAAAAAAGAAAGACTTGTTCAAAGTTCAGTCCACAAGGCAGAAACTAAATGAATTGATTAAAGCAAAGTGGATCTTATGTCAAGAATTAAGGCTTAAAGCTGTGTTAGAGTAGTTGGTGTTGTTGCATAACAGCTAAAGCCACCACCTGTGATGCCAGCATCTTCTGAGTGCTGGTTCAAGTCCTGTGCTTAGGCTTCTGCACCCATGTGGAGACCGGGGTGGAACTGTGGTCTGTTGACTTTGGTCTAGTCCAGGCCTAGCCTTTGCAACCATTTGGGAAGTGAACCAGTGAATGGGGGATTCTCTCTATCTATCTCTTCCTTTCACCACCATGTATGTATCTGTGTGTGTGTGTGTGTGTGTGTGTGTGTGTGTGTGTGTGTGTGCTCCCCCTCCCTCTGTAATTCCACCTTTCAAGCAAAAAGTAGATTCTTGACTTCAAGGTCATAAGCCTATAGTTGGGATTCAGAGGTGAAAAATTTACTGTCTGCTTAACTTCTATTGTTTCAGGGGCCTCCCACCTCTTAAGTCATACCTGGAAAATGGAATATAGAATCCAGGGAGTGTTATAAATAATTTCCCCTTTCAGACCCAGCTTCTCAGTTGCCAGCATGGCAGGACGTTGACTGATGTCTTCCTCCTTCTGATCCTTTAACTTTTACTCGAGAATATCTTACTGTCACAACTTTTGCATTCAACATTTCTGACACAAGATTCATAGTTTTAATCTGTATCCCATGACCTCCTTGGGAGGCATGATGTAAATAGACACAAATTTAAGAGCAACAGTCTACCATACAGTGCATGGAGATAGACACAGAGTTCATTTCAAGATCATGAAGCAAGTGCAGTGATGATTGTAGGCATTGTGCAGATGATGGCTGTGAGCACTTTGAGCACTTCTCACTTTTAACGTTAATGTAAGAAGTGAGAGAAAGAATCCAAAACAGCTTCATGGTAATATGAAAGGTTAAGCTAAAACTACAAGATTGTTGTAAGAGTAGATTCTACAAAAAGGAGAGAAAACATAACAGATATTTAGAAGAGAGCAAAATCCGCAATTTATACAACAGCATCATGACCACAGGCAAGAAGGGAACTCTGGGAAGTAACATGTGTTGAGATGATGAGTGTTGAATTCTACTAGGATTACTTTGACAGTAGGAGGCAGGTTGATATGACCATCCAGTGAAACGGGGATATAAAGATTGTATAGTGGATAGAATGAGAAGTGAGGTTGATCACAGGCAAGATAACAGCAGAACTGTAGACAGTGACCTTGTTTTGGACTTGGTACCTAACCGGTGACATTAGGTTTCCTTTGTTTTCACTCTGCCCCTACTTTCCATCATTATATTTTTGAAGAAATATCGAAGAAAACCCATGGCATCATGTGCAATCAACGCATGTTGATTTTTCCAGGAGAGAGTAATACTGGACTTGTTGAGATTCCCAGAGTTTCAGAACAACTGAGCTAATAGCTTTACTAATGGGTTAATTCAGTTTTGTTCACAATAAGAAATGCTTACTCAGGGGTACAGTTGAAACACATGTTAAGCGATTTTTCTTCAGGCAGTACAGTGACTCAAAAATTCTCATGCATGAAACTACAAGATGTTGGATACAAAAAACCAAAGTATTTCCAGATACACTGCTCAGAATCATGAGGCAGATGCTTCTGCAACAAACAGAAAAGTCTATGAAAAAACACAGTAGAGTAAGTGAATCCTAGTGGCCTTGGAAGCAGATTGCAGGTGCAAAAATCTTCTTTTGATCACATTTGCCATGGTATGAGGTTCTCCCAGGGAGACGCTGAAATGTCACATGGAGGGCAGGCGAGTGACTGCATTGCTTCAGGTGCTACCTTCTTAGGGAAAAGTTAAAAAGGAAAATTGTGTTGCTAAGTAAGCCTTCAAGAAAACCTCTTGATTGTAACTGTCTATGGCCAGGTAAAAGAAGCATAGCAACCATTATATCATTAATGGTGATGATGGAATTCAGATATGTGAATCTATACTGCAATCAGAGAAACCTCAAGAAAGTTAACTGCATTAAAGAAATACCACATAGTGGGAACTACCACAGATCTTATTTAGTGAAAGTCATCCTCATGCCAGCTCTTGGAGAGTTTCCAGTAACTAATATGACGTGTGTGCCAACATTTTAGCAGAAACTGTAATTGAAAGACTGAATTCTTTCTCGAAAAATAAGTGAAATCTGTGCTTATGCGGGGTTTCAAAAAGTTTGTGGAAATGCATCTTGTGAAGAAAATATGCACAGGTTTAAGGTTTGTTTTGCACAAAAATCAACATGTTTATCTATCTTTAAACTTGTGTCAAATGCCTGACCATGAGCAGCCTGTAGGCTTACAATATGGCACTCTTGTGGAGAGTCTGGCTAGCAGTTAAGGTGCCAGTTAAGATTCCTGAGTTCCATGTCGAAAGTGCTGGTGTTTGATTCCTTGGTTTTGCTCCTGCCTGCAGCTTCCTGTCACCTACAGGGCAGACCTGGATGGTGTTCACAACTTCAGTTCTCCATGGGGGGTTTGGGGAGTGAGGCGACAGCAGCTGTGTCTACTGCCTTGCAAATTTTAAAGATAATGAAACATGATCCCCACCCTCCATTCTTATTAATTACTTACTTCGGAAAAGGATTTGGTTTATCATGCATTGCTTCAATTTCTGTGAAAAAGTTGATGTTTCATGTGGTAAGGTTCTTAATGTCTAAGGTTCTTTCTTTATAACTACACAGATGATCCAATTTATATGTGTGAGATAAGACACACTGCATCGCCTTACCTAATCCTCTCAGTATATTAAAGCATGTTTCGTTTCTTTCATTTCTGTGGTACTGTAGGACAGCTTTCCAGCTCGATTTGGAGGAATTCATTTTGTCAATCAACCATGGTATATCCATGCTCTGTACACTGTGATTCGGCCTTTTCTAAAGGAGAAGACGCGGAAGAGGGTATTGTTTCTTGGTTTCACTCCATTTTAAATATCTAACATGATTTTGCAGTGATCATCATGCCTTATCATATCGTTTGGAAAGAATGATATTTTGCAGACATTTCAGTTTCTCTTTAAATTACAAATTACCTGAATTTGTAAAAATTCAGCGATGTCTATCTTACCTTTCTATACATATATGAACATGTATAAAAATCACTTTTTTTCTGAAACAAAGAAATGTGTGCAAAGTATCACAGTACATGTTGCATGATTGATACTGAAAGTATTTATCATTATTATCAAATGTGGATTTTAAAAGTACATTTTAAGGTACATTATTTTATTTAATCTTTTCAACATTATTGCTGTTTCCATGCTGAAGAAAGACTTTGTATGGATATGTAACTTGCTTGTTCATACATATTCACAGTAGTTTGTGTTTTAAAAATAATAGACAAACTGCATTCTTGCAGCTCTGTATTTAGAGCTATTTTTATGCCTCGTGCTGTGTCCAATTTCCAAACAATTGGTTCGACAGTAAAATGTATTCACCTTAAAATCTATGTGCAAGATAATGTTTCCTGTTTCTTAATTAACAAGGAGGTATGTTGGGTATGTCCATGTGTAGAGGCTTGCTTTTGAGTGTGGACGAGTTGTAAGTACGCGATTGTATCCAATGTCAGTGAGCAGAAGGTTTACTGTATATTACTTGTTGAAAATGGTGCACTGATTTAGGAGGAATTCTTTAATTCTAATCTATACTTAAACTGTTTCTACCAGTAAGAATCAAATTGTTTATGATTTAGAATTCAGAAAATATGTTGAAATGCTTCAAAAATGCACTTTCAAGCTTTATTTTTTGAAAGAGAGATCAGGTGATCTAAAACACCTGCTGGGGTTTTTAGTACAAATAATAACAGCAAGTGCTTATGTAGTATTTTTTTTGGTATACCACATGCTGTTCACAGTGCTTTACGTATGTGAACTCATTTAACCCTTACACAAGGCATTAGGGTAACTATTGTTATTTTTCTCATTTTATACAGTGGAATGTGAGTACAGAGGGTTAAATAATGTCCTCTAAATTATAGTTAGTAGATAGTAGAGTGGGATTGTACAATTATGGGAAAAGGCATTTTAGGCAGTAGGCATAATGGAGACCAAGATCTTTAGTTAGACACATGCTTATTATATTTGACAAACAAGAGCAATACAAGCAAGCTATAACACAACTATGGGGGAGGGTGGGATAAGGGGGGATAGAAAGAACAATCGTGTACCTCATCACATATGGCCTTGGATATCATTGCAATTTGTGACTTTCTGTCACAGAAATGAGACACATTTGGAAATAAGCACACAGGATAGCTTGTTCTGGCCTGATTTTGTCGTGATTCTGCTGTGTTATCCACAAGACAAGCTCTCTAGATCCTAGAGATATTTTGAATGAATTTACAGTTTTGACAATGCCTAGCATCATGTGTTGTTAGTATTATTTCAGATAGGAAAGGGGTTTCTGAACTTTATCATTTTAATTAAAAACATATTATTTGAAAATTTTCATATGAAATGTTTTAGTTTCTATTTACATACTCCATGCACAAGACATGCCTATCATATTTCCTTACGGTATTCCAGGTTTTTCAGCATCACCGCTATTCAACACATTATGCTTGTGATGCAATAATTGTATTTTATATAAAATTGATAGAAGATAACTTAAGAAGTAGCTGTGTATCTTCTTCCATGTACTCATATGTGGGTCTTCCTGTTATTAAGTTAACTTTGACCCTAAACTCCAATGAGACTGACTGATTAGATTGTTAATTTTGGATGTCATTATCAGGAACTTCCCTGAAAATTTCACTCTGGAATCTTTCCATGCAAAGTAAACGTTCTTATCTCGAATGAATCTGTTTGGCATCTTCATTGTTCAACCCAATATTAGTTCCTTAAATTAGTATGTCCTTCTGTTATCATGTTTTGTGTAAAAAGCAGGGATCTTTGTTGAATCCAGAATCCAAGCACTAAGCTTCCTGTTCATCAAATTAATGAACTCTTTACTTACTCCTTACTGATTCCCTAAAGTAGTTCATCCCCCTCCTTTCCACTCCAGATCACCTAGTATAATCTCTTCAATGGTAAAGTGTAGAAAAGCAAAATGTTTAAAATGGAAGTGCTATTCTTCAGGCAATTAAAAAAATTATGGTAGTCAGGCAAAAGAAAAAAGAACAGTTCACAAATACAAGACGTCATGCATAAAATGAATGAAGGGAAGCAATTAGAAATTTAAAAAAATAAACATAGCAATAGCTCAATGAGCAATGTTGCCACACAGAATTAATCAAAGCAACGAAAAATCCAAGAGCAACATTTTAAAAGGTGAGTAATTGTGAAGAATTGTATTGTCCAGCCTCTACGGGTTTTGAGCCACCGCGAGTTAAAAATAATTAAGTACTGAGAATTGAGCACTGCATTTGGCAGTGAGAATGATTTTGCCAAGAACATTGTCTATCACAGGAGACAAATCATGTTTTGATTTGATTAAGAGAAAATGGAAACTGGTATTTGAACAATGTACAGGGACAACTTCCCTGTTGAATTTTATAATAAAGGTAAGTCAAGATGTGCGATAACAATTGTAGGCAGAAGTAGGGACAAGATAGGTGTATACGTCTTCATGAGGAGCAGTGGTATCGGTATCTTGTTTTCTATCTATCTATCTACCTATCAGTGTGTGTATATATATATATATATGTTTTTTTTTCTGATGGTAACAATCCAGCAGAAAAGAGATGTCATGATGTGAAAGAGGTAAGACAGAACTGATAAGAAATGTCAGTGAGAATGGGAAGGATGATAAATTCTAATGCATGGGTGGAGAGGCTGGCCTTTGTAGGGCTTCCCCTTCCATTGTACCAGCATGAAAGGCAGGGCTCATGAGCACAGATGCTGGTGGGCGGGTTTCATCTGGTTGCTCTATTTTCTTGGGGAAATTGGAAGCGTGGACATGGCTGAAAGTGAAGCTGAGGGAGGAGTAGCAGTACAAGAGGAGAGGAAGAGTTCCAGGATTACTTACAATACTCTAAGGATTTATTACCATAACTATCACATATTTTAAAATAGGTTTCTTACATGGGAAGAACATCTTATGGAATAAAGGTTGTGTATATCTAGTAAAATAATGGCTTCAGAGGTCAGAGCTTAACTTTTCCAGGAAAATCATTTTATCTTATTTTAATTTTATGAGAGAGAACTAGGGGAGTGTGTGTGGGTGTGGGTATGGGGTATGTGTTTTCCTGGATATAATTATCAGCTCCTGTGCTTTCAGACAGGAGTGGGAAGATGTAAAGTTTACAGTTAATCTTGTGCAATGTGTACACACAGTACTTTCCTCCACTTCAGACCCTGCATCCTGGACAGCAGGCAGTCAGTTGTCCTGATTTAATTGACCAGTGACCTGCTGTTGTTTGCTTTTATTCTTCTGTGATTTGTTGAATATATTTATTAATCGGTGACTTTCGCTCCTCTAATTTTATTCGCTGTTATAGCCTATTTTCTTTGTACCCCCATACTAAGTATGAAAAACAGGTATGAATGTTCATTTTTAGACTGAAGTATAAAATTATTTTTGGTTATTTATAATTCTTAAGTATTACATACATTTTATATGATAATGATGTTTTGAAAAAATGTTACTCTGCAATTTTGAGATTGAAATGGTGAAAGAGAAGAGGTGCACCAATTTGTGGAGATGGAAATCTTGACTATGCAATTTAAATAATTTCTGGCTTTAATAAAAAAGGTCCTTGTAGGTTTTAATATCAATAATTAACATATACACTCAACATTATATTTTTATTCCATTACTTCATTTTCTAGTTGGACAATAAACATTGGAACCCCTGATGGAGAAGATTCTGGCAACAGTACAGAACATATGCCTTCTAGAACATTGGTTCCACTCAGGCTTTCATTATGATATTGTTGATGTGCCTCTTTCATTTACATTAGCCATTTTGCACTGTAAAGCAGTAACTTAGTGGTTACAGCATCCTTATTTTTATTGATGATAAAGGAAAAGCCATGCTATTGACAGCTTCTGGACTTAATAACTTGATAGGCTCAATAACTGATGAGTCTCTTATGAGGAGGGTCTGTCTTAACAGCATTCATTAGGCACATAGTCACATTGGCACAGTAATGCCAGGGTGATGTACAGATCAGCCTCTCCTCTTACTCTGCTCATGTCCCAGCTCTCAAGTAGAAAACTAAATGTGTCACTCATCTGTTTACCTAAATTACTAACTCACCTTCCTGAAACTATTCTAAATGCCTGAGCCTCAGGGTTTTGCTATAAAATACTGCTAGCATAATAGTCCTAATGTTACTGTTTCGCAGAGTGATGAGATACTTAAATAAACAATATTTATACTTGTTATTTCTGTCCTTTCTCTCGCTAGCATTTGGATGGTATTTACTTTCCTCTCTGTGTTTCCCTCCCTGTTCTATAGATATTTTTACATGGAAACAACCTGAACAGTCTTCACCAACTGATTCATCCCGAGATTCTTCCCTCTGAGTTTGGAGGAATGCTGCCCCCGTATGATATGGGAACGTGGGCAAGAACACTGCTAGACCATGAGTATGATGACGACAGTGAATATAATGTGGACTCCTACAGTGTGCCAGTGAAGGAAGTGGAAAAGGAACTCTCCCCAAAGGCCATGAAAAGGTATGCTGGTTGGGTAGAGGCTGGAACTGGGTTAACCCCAAGCTTAACTCCAAGATTTTTTGTATATATTTTCTGGTGAGATTTAAAGCCCTCCATGCTTCTGTGATGAGATATTTAGGGATTTTGAGTCAGAGATAATAGTTTATTTTTTCAGTAGTGAGAGTGTTTAAAATCTGCTCTCAGTAGTTTTTAGAAACACAATATGTTGTTATTCATACATTTACAGTGCTCTTTCAGAGATCTCTGGAATTCATTCCCTCTTAACTGATAATTTATGTATTGGTCTAGTATCTTGTCTTCCTTAACCGTTGCTCTAATCACTGTAGCTACTACTCTATGCTCTGTTTCTGTCTTCTTCTTATGTTTACCTTTTTTGGTCCTACATAAAAGTGTGGTTATATAAGGCCACTATTTACTCATCAAATTAAGCCTTATCAATATATGCAACTGTTGTTTTTCAACTTAAAAGCAGACCAAATATTTCAAGGCCATCTCAATTCAGTATTGTTCTAAATTTGGAGAAAGTCTAGCAGGGCTGTTAGAAATCACTAAGCTCAGTAGTTTTCAAACTGTATTGAAGGGACAGAAATTGGGCAGTGTAGTGAAGATACCATTTAGGATACCCATATCCCACATTAGAATTTCGGATTCACATCTAGCCTCTTGTTGCCACTCCGGAGTCCTGTTAATGTGAACCCCAGGAGACATGTTATAATTCAGGTACTTGACTATGTATCACTCACATGAGAGACATGAATTCAGTTCTTGTTTCTAACTTGGGCTGTCCCAAACTTGGGTATGTGTGCCTTTGGAAATAAACAAGGAAAAAGGTGAACTCTTGCTGTCTCTCTCTCTACCTGTCTCTCTCTCCATCCCTGTCCCTTTAACCTATGTTTTCTGTGTAAAGTGAAAATTATACATATATATTATTTGTGTATATATGTATAATCATATATATGTACAAATACATATGAAAATATATACACTGAGGAAGAAAGGATTTTGATGGTGTACCTCAGGAAAAGCAGATGGGTGTCTAGGAAAAATACGCGCTTGCTCTTGCTAAGACAACATCTCTCCTAAGACTTATTGGAATTCTGTGCAAAATTCGCTTTAAAGAATATGATAACAGCACACAAACACAAATGCCTAATTTCATTTAAACACTCAGAAAGCTTGTGGTACATTCTTAATACCTCTGTCAAATCTATGTTTAAAGGGGGAAGTATTTCTAGGGAAAACATTCTTTTTTTTTCCTCTACAGAGTTTTGTTGTTGCTCATAGAGTTTGTTTTAGAGTTGAAGTTACAGAGTAGCTTGTCACTTTGACTTACAGCACTTTTATGCATTTCTTTCAGTCTGTGCATATAGTAAAGTATGTAGAAAGTATAATAGACACTTTTCCAAGTGATTGGGTCTAACTGTAATGTAACGGTGGTAGAGACCCTAGGGGTTATTTGATTCACATAAGTGCATAATAAGACTTCTATTTCAGATTTCTCCTCACTACACCAGTGCAGCATTTATTTATATAATGTTAACAATGATTTTTCTGATGCAGTTTCCCTACTCAGAAATATAGAAACTACAGCAGCCACACGTCTCTTGTCATCCCCTAGTTCTGCGAGTATGCAAGGATATCTTATAAACTGTATCCTGCCCTAATGGTGGTCCTTTGTTCAAAAGCACTGATTCATGGAGTGGCACACAGGCTTCTTAATACTGGTTTCTTTCGTGCTGCTGCTGCTGTTATTGTTAGCTTCTGTGTAATGATGACATCATTATTCTGGATGCCTCACAACTATTTTAAAAGAATGCAGAGTCTGAAGGCTTTTCCTACTATTGATTTTGTTTTTTCTTTTTAAGATGTATGTATTTTTATCCATTGATTCACTCCTCAAGCAGCTGTAACGGCTGCAGCCGAGGCAATCTGAAGCTAGGAGCCCAGAGCCTTTTCCAATTCCCATGCAAGTGCTGGGTCCCAAGACTTTGGGCTGTTCTTGACTGCTTTCTCTGGCCACAAGCAGGGTGCTGGATAGGAAGCTGAGCAACCAGGACATGAATTGGTGCCCATACGGATTCCTGGCATATGAAAGGCAAGGACATTAGCCAGTGGGATACCAGGCCTCCCTCGCTCCAAAATAATTTTTTTTAAAGCAAAAATAATTGATAACAACTTCCCAAGAGCAGTACCCTTCCTTGTGGTAAATAAAAATAAATAAAAATAAATAAATAAAAATAATTTGAATGATGACAATTGGTGTATAGAGATTATAACCTCAATGCTCAGTAGTATGTATGTAGTGCAGCAGAGTTTCAATTCATGATGTATGATTCTCATTGTTAACATAAAACTGATGGACTCTTATCATGACAGCCTGTCACCTTGGAGCTGTAGTGTTTATGAACATAGTGAGGGCTACCGTTTGTGACCCCTGGGATTCAACCGACCTATCAGGCAATGACTTTTTCTGCAATCAATTCCTCCTATGTCGTTGTCACTCATATTTCTCCCCTTATCTTCTACAGCTTGGGGGCACCACCATGACAGCATTGCTTGCTTGCACCTTGCCCATAGTAGCATCCTAATTGCTCTGTTCATTTCCACATGGACCTGCACCCCTCCTCACCATTCACCACCTATATGGAAATTCAAAAACTGTTGGAATTGAAAACCAGGTCATTTAATAACTCTAGTTTAAATTTGTAAATGTCTACTGGTTAAGAATTAACAAATTTCCTTATCACAGTCACAAGGTGCTCTGTGATTTGGCGTGCTTCCTTCTCTGCTCTGGTTTTATCCTGCCCACTTCCTCCTCCCACACCTGTGAGATACAATCAGCTTCTCCTAGTTCTTCCAGCTTCTTCTTGCTTGAAAGTTTTTAGACTTGTCACTATGTTTGGAGTTTTCTTTTTCTGTTTCTCAAACAGTTGTTCCTAATTAAAGGTTTCTTCCTTGCAAGTCTTCAGTTTTTTTTTTTCCTAAGATTTATTTATTTTTATTGGAAAATTCAGACATACAGAGAAGGAAGAGAGACAGAGAGGAAGATCTGTCTGTTGATTCACTCCTCAAGTGACCGCCAACTGCTGAAGCTGAGCTGATCCAAAGCCAGGACCCAGGAGCTTCTTTCAGGTCTCCCACGCGGGTGCAGGGTCCCAAGACCTAGGGCTGTCCTCGACTGCCCTCCAAGGCCACAAGCAGGGAGATGGAAAATGGGGTCACCAGGATTAGAACCAACACCCATATTGGATGCCAGCATTTGAAAGGCAAGGACCTTAGCTGCTAGGCTACCGTACCAGGCCCAAGTCTTTAGGTTTTTATGCACCAGCTGTTCTTACATCTATTTCTACCCCATGCTCGTTACTCTCTGTCATCTTCCAGTGTTTTGTTTTGCTCATAGCACTTATAGGCGCTTGAAACAATTCATTTTTATTTATTTTTTATTCCTACCCACAATGTAAGATTCAAGTAGTTGTTTTGTCTGTCTTGTTTTCTTTAAAATCTCAATTTCTCTGAGAAGCACTTCCCCTCAAACGATGTTCAGTAAATACAGGTTGAGTGGTTCAGGAATGCCCTGCTGTCAGTGATTCTTTGAAGTATAGTAAACATAAGTGAATGGTTAACATCTGACGTTAGTGTCAATGCTTACGTTTGGATGTGTTTGCACCATACAGTTGTGGTTTTGCAGTGTAGACCTCACTGAATTCCCTGATTGCTGTAGTCATCTTTGCTAACAAGCTAGGCAGGTAGTCAAAGCACATTTCTGACTCAATGAGCTCCCCAAATTAAAAAGCATTTATGTACCGGGCCTGGCATGGTGGCCTAATGGCTAAATTGAACATGTACCAGTATCCCATATGGGTGCCGGTTCTAATCCCGAGGGTCCCATTTCTCATCCAGCCTCCTGCTTGTAGCCTGGGAAAGCAGTTGAGGAAGAACCAAAGCCTTGGGATCCTGTACCTGCGTTGGAGATCTGGAAGAAGTTCCTGGCTCCTGGCTTCTGATTGGCTCAGCTCCAGCCATTGTGGTTACTTGGGGAGTGAAAACATCAGACAGAAGATCTTCGTATCTGTCTCTCCTCTCTGTATATCTGACTTTGCAATAAAAATAAGTAAATGTTTAAAAATAAAAATAAACAAACAAACAAATAAATAAAATGTATGCATTGCAAGGTCTAAAGGCTATGGAGACTGATTAAATGTGTGATGCACTGCTGATAGACTTGTCACTGTTTTGAAGCTGGAATCACATGATTCATTAGCAGTCATGCTGCTGCAGTTATAATCCTCTTCCTATAATTATGAAAGTAAATGAAACTGTTCTTACATAGCAGCAAGTTTTGAACAATGAGGTAACAAGAAAAAGAAAATCTTAATCACATACTCTTTCTGCTAGGCTTTTCCTTGCTTTTGAGGAGTTGTACAACATGAGGAAGTAGCATTTATTATCTAACAAAGCTGATATGTAGTGCATGATAAAAATCAGCTAAGAACCCGATTCTAGGTGAAATAGTACCGTGTAGTTTAAAAGTTTTTGTTCAAATTGTCATACCTTCTAATAACATATTCTATAATGCAAAGCAAATGAGAGAGAATGATCCGTGAGGTTTGTCTCAATAGAATATTATGGAAATATAACAGTTCTGTGTCTTGCGCTGTGTGAACATCTTTGCTGTATCCTTAAAGAATATCATCAGAATGTACTTCAACACTTATATAGTAGATTTAACTTTATGAAAAATGTTTTGTGTATTTCTTGGTAATAAACATTGTCTTATTTTTCATTTTGAATGCTTATTGTTAGATTTTTTCAAAAATTTCTTAATATAAATTTTTCCATTATAAAAATTTTTCAACATATTTCAAGTAATACATAGGTACAATTCTAAGAAAATAAATATTCTTTCATTATGAGAATACTTTATTAGACAGAAGTTAAGACATTAAGATCTTATTTGTGCCAGAGGTCATTAGTATTAAAATAAAAACAGCTATAAAAATCTAACTACTAAGTATATTTTGCAATTGTCTATTTTGTTAAAATGTGTTCCATCTATTCATGTTCATTTACCTGAAATAATTAGGTATTGCTGCATTAGAAATAATACAAAATCTCTTCTTCTATCCTGTTCTTCTTTGTATTCTTTCTTCTCCTCTTCTCCTTCTCTTGCAAATATGCAGAAAACTTGTACCAGTCTTTCTTCTGAGACACCTATTAAATATGTAGATAAAAAGCAGAAAATTGCATAAAGAAACAGAAGTTATTCTCTTTTTAATGTTGTCATCACTATTTTCATTCTCTCTTTATAAATGAATGTGTTCATTTAAAGGAAGGAGTCAGTTTATGCATTAATCCTGTAATTACTTGTTCCTATGATAATTAGTTCCATTGCTGTTCTTTTTCATTAGCATGAGCAGTTACATTTTAGCATATAGTCATTCTCTTCAAAAGTTAATGAGGTCTGCTAAGAAGCACACTGCCACAGCCAAAGCCAATTGGCTGGAATGCAGCAGCAGGGAAAGAATTTATTATCCAAGAGAATTTTGAAAGGGCAGCTGCTTCCTTAATGCTGTAGCTATTAGGATGGCAGCTTTTTGCAAAATAATGTCTTGTGTCGTTGATGTTTTTCCATCTCACTTTCATATGGTTTTCTACTGACATATTGAGATAGAATTCCAACCTGCTATCAGAGACATGTATAAGCAAATTTCAAACTATGTGTTTTTCAAATCGTAAGCATTGCTTTTTAAACATAAAACTTTTTGGTCTTTAAAAATCTTTAAGTATTTTACAATAGTTTAAAGTATTACTTTAGTTTTATTTGGTTGTTCTGGTGAGGAATTTAACAAAAACATATAAAAATGTTGATTTTTTTTGTTGCTAATCCACACCTGTGGGAGAAACAATGATAAAGAAAAGACAGGGAGAGCATGTCATCTGGGTGATTATGTGGTAATAACTCACTGTCCTTGACGTCACCTTCTTCAGATCTCAATCGGTAGTGGATCCAACAGTACTGAAACACATGGATAAAAATGAGGAGGAAAACATGCAGCCTTTGCTCTCTCTGGACTGACAGCTCCTGGACATCGCTCCTGTGGATTACCAGTGGAAGGTACTGGTTTTCAGCAATAGGGACGGCACTCTGGAGGAATTGTCAGCTGGGGGCTCCTTTATTGAAGTTAATGTAGCATAGTACATGATAAAGAACCAGGCCTCTCCATTTCCCTGAACCGTGGGTGTCCCAGGCTAGAAAAAAAAAACTCAATAATTTATTCTGTAAGTGCCAAGTTCTTTGTAAATATTATGCATTCTTTATGTCAAGTTTGTAAATTTTGGTAATAATTTAATTGAAAATTAATGACTCCTAAATCAGTGCCAGTGATACAAGCTGAGACAAATAACAGAAAAAAAAAACCCAACTAAATGGTTGTAATGCATTGAGTGTAGTCCTGTTTCCTCTGAAGCCATATTTCAGATATGATAGTGACCATTTCAATGTTTTTATTTTTTTTTTTCTGAAACTGTTCATATAGGGGCTGAATAATTTTTGGCAATTGTTATGCTTAATATCTCTCCTGTCTAGTGATTTTTCCTTTCAGAAAAATTGTATCTGGAGACTATCACTGGCCTTCCATTTTGGAGACAAAGAATGACAGATGAGCTGATGAACTGAACACTTGAACTCTTCTGTGTTGTTTGATTTCTGGAATTTTGCAAAAAAAAAAAAAGTTTACCCAATTGAGATGTGACTCAAACAGAATGGATTCTTTTTAAACTGCTGTCTTCACAATGTGTTTTTGTTTCAAAAACCCATGGTATCCCTGTCTAATAAATTTAAGAACATTTTTCCCCTCAAATCTAATCAAGAGAGTGAAAGCTCATGTATGAATAATGTTTGGACAGCTAATTTTGAACACTTAATTTGCCACTCTCAGATAAGGGGCTAATTTATAATTACTGTGTACTGGTTGAAAAAAATATATATATATTCACACCCACAACATATATATTTTTGATGAGTTCTAATAAATCCTTGATGAGATAAACTTATAAAGAAAATCATACATGTTCAATGGTATTAGAGATGTACGTTATCATTACATGAAATGTTAGCCTTGAACGAACACTTCCCCTTCTGAAGTGTATCTATCAATGTAATTTCCATTGAATTTATAATGCAGTCTTGAATATGTGGTATTTTAGTGACTTTTCCCTTTGAAAAATCAAGAGATTTCAACATAATGTGGACATCAAGTGACAAAATAAAATAGCTTTTCTCATATTCAAAATAATTACCTAAATAATTTTATATGTACACGTTTTTGTTTAGAAAATATTGGAAAATAATGACACAGAGGAAGCATAACGAAAGCATCTGGAGGCATCTAAGACAGTATGTAATAATTCAAACGTAAATTTAGAATTCACTTTTATTTGAAGCTTAATTTCCCTAAAAATCTATAATTGTAGCTAGTTCTAAAACTCTTATTTTAAATTTCAATTTCCAAAGTGTTAAAAAAATGATTTTATCACTCTTTCAATGTGATAAATTATAAGACTGAGATTTTACCATTAATATTTCCTTTTGATAGGAAAGAATCTCTAAGAAGTATTGGAAACCAACAGAGGTAAAGACATATAGCATATTTGATATAGTTTTTAGTCAAAAGCTTCAGATTTTTTGTTACAATTCCACAGTCTTAAAAAAGTCAGTATACCAATCTGCAATATACCAATAGACTGTCTAAAGGATTAAAACTGCATCAATTAACATGAGTGAAAAACACCATAAAAATGTCAGTCTTTAGTTAAATTCAGAAGAATAATGCTTGTTAAGTACCCTGTGTTACTTGGGACCGTCACAGAGATGGGGGTGAACTGGGGCTAAGACTCCACAGCAGTTCTTAGTCTTTCAGAGAAAACTAGCTATTGATAGATTTATGTTTCTACTTACCTGAGACACCTTCTATGGCCTTGGGTCTATACACAACACGAACAAGTGTTACTTTGTGTGATCCATTTGAGTGATGTGGAAACTGTAATGGCAGGAGGACAGTCAGCTCTTTAAACTCATGAGTTCCTTTTGACGCTCACTAGCTTCCAATGTCAACCAACAGAGCCAGCTTCTTACCCCTACCCTGAAATCAGTGTCATATGTAAGTAGAAAGTCATATGTATATGTGTATCTATCTAACTATAAGTCCTGTTCGCAGTCTTTTCCTGCCATACATTTGGAAGCTTTGCACTGGTGTTGCTGCATGTCTGCTGTTGCTTAAATGAGCAATTGAGAATTGGCTGGATTGTGTAAAGTATTTTAAAATGAGTGAACACATTACAGCAGTGATGCCTATTGGAATTGCTCTATCTAGCTCAGGCTGTGAATAAACTCACTTCCCAGTAATGTTTGTAAAACCGCTTAGACAAGGGATATTTGTTCAACTTCATAAATTTTGCCCTCAACACCAGTTAACTAACAGTGTTTGAGAATTTTGCCCTTATGTGATTTTCTGTAACACCTCCCTGTCTGTTAACTATGTAACCTAGTAAATGAGTACCCCATAATTTGGTGTTTTAATTGCAGTGGTGTGTGCACACGTTCTCTGTCTCTCCCTCATTCTCTATTTGCCCTGATGAATTTGTCTCCCTAGTTTGAGAACAATGATTTTGCTTTTTTATTGTTATTTAGAAATTTGTGCATTTTGAAGAATTACCACAACTGGTTTGGAATAGGCCAGTTGCTCATTTACATCTCTCCCACCTGCTTCACCTTATATTTCGGAACTAATATTTTTCCGTTGTTTCAGGAGCAGCTGCTTCCAAAGCTGGTTTAAAAATAAATAGCTCTTTTTATCACATTGTTAGTGATATTTGCACACATTTTGACTGCTATTTAAAAGGAAGAGATTATCATGAAAATATACTCTTAAGAAATATGAAGAAGTGCCTCTTTAGAAATGGAATAAAGCAGTTATGCTGGCATATGAAGTTTATTTGTATTGTCCTCCAGAAAGTAAATGAGTGCATCTGTACTGTAAAGGTGAAATGTAGATATAATTTCAAGAAAGATCTGAGGCCTTTCTTTGAGTAGTCTCATGAAATATTAATTATTGTGTAAGTTCAATACAGTAACTTTAATACATGTTAGTAATCAACCTGACTCAATGCTAAAACAGTATACAATTATTAGAGTTTTGCAAATAAATCTTGAAATGCATATGCATGATATCACTTATTTCTCTAAGGGTTTGCATAAGAATAAGAAAGTCATTTCTTAAATCTTTTTTATATAAAATGCTTGTTTACTTTTTATTCCTAAAATTCATATAATCATAAACAAGAAAGCTAAGCAGCTATGTTCTCATTAATATTGCTAAGTAGGTCACATTGTTATAGTAAACGTTTGAAGTGTTTTTAATATCCCAAGGGAACAGAAGTTCTGCTGAACTGACAAACTGGAAAGTTGTTTTGGATGTCCAGAAAAATGTTCATGACTCTTCACAAAGTAAGAGTTGTAGCAGCGTGTCTTCTGGCTCAAGCTTCCTTTGCTTTTACACACCACCTAAAGTTTATGGACATGTTCATCAGTTTGAAAAGAAGTTATGATGTCAAGAACACCTGTGGAGAATCTGCATTTTCTTCTCTTGTTTTATTTAATGATTTACTGTGGCTGGCTCGTTAATAATATTGCTTGCTTCCCTTTCTTGGTGTGTAAGGACTACTTGAAAAGTTACCATCATGTATAAGGATATTCAGAACAAGTTTTAGCACACAAGATAAACAGAATTCTAACATGACATTTGAACTTTCATACATGGTATTTATGTGTTTGAAATGAACTAAGATCCAAGGCACACTGGATTTTACATCAGCTGTAGACACGCTTAGCCTAAACACAGTCATGCAGATAATGCAAAAATGGCAAATTATCTACAGATGTTCTGGAACACAGATTTGTTTAATCAAAATAATTTTTCTACATTCTATAACTAGCATATATACTTCTGAAAGATAATCTTTTAATGATGAAGTAAATTTACTTTAAATGTCAATTAAAGGAGGAATGATTCAAATAGGCTTTTCACATGTTTTCCTACAATGTTTACATGATATGATAGATTAAATTCAGACACTGGGATTACTTTAAAATTGATTCAAATGAACGATAATAAAATAAATCAGGTCAAAATATTAGCTAATATTAAGTAAAATAAAATCACTCGGTGTGATCTGAGAAAAAAATGCTTAATAAATATCCATCTGCATCATGTTGGAGTTTCTTTTATTTAATTTATTGTTAGTATAAACTCATCTGGTGTGGTTTAGAAAAACTTTTTTGCCTGGCTAGAAACCTGTACAGTAGACCTTAGGAACTTCTTTGGCACAAACCTGGGTTCATGTCGCTTGGCACAGCTTTCGAGGTTAATGAGAATCGTTTCTGATGTTTCTTGCGTTTGTCAGAAGGGACCAACTTTCCAGCAGCCACTGAAAAAGTATACTGAGTGAGAATAAAATTGGACAAACCACAAACTGCAAGAAAACCAGATAACCAACCTTAAAAAAAAAACATGTGTGTTACTTTTTCTCAGAGGTTCAAGGGGAAATATTATCGCTTATAGAGTATAAAAACATAGTATATCAATGGTGTCTGATGTAGTTAAATACTTGGCCAATGAAAAGGGGTCACTGTGTAGTGATGATTGCAGCTGAGTGTGGAGTTTGTGTCCATGCAGCAAAGTATCGTCGGAACCCTTACTTCTGAGCATCATTTCTGCCTCTCACAATAAAACCAAACATGCTATCTTCCCTTGTGTTTAATTGATAGTTTACTTGGCTAACTCACAAACCACACCAAAAATTCTTGCCTTTTAAGAACAAAATGATGTTTTGCACTTAGTTGCACTTAGATGATGGAGCAATTTGCAGGTTTATGTATAAAGCATTAGCTGCAAATTTAAAAATGTGGCTTTGGTGATAGAAAACAAAGTGTACTTTACATTTTGAAGTCATAAAGAAGCACAGTACTATCCTTCCCTTTGCATTGGTTTCCTTATTGTCTTTAATGGAATGTCTAATGACAATGTCAAATTTAACATATCCCAGACCAAATTTTTCCTGCTTCACTCTGAGCCCAACTCTCACTAGCATCCCCTAGTTTGGAACACTTGGAACATTCCCAGTTACAAAGTTAAAAGTTTCTAGGGATGAAAACATTGTGTCATCTTTCTTCTCCTCTTTCAGAGTCACGTCGGGTTAGTGTGTTCATTGGCTTGGCTCTTCAACATGTACCCGCATTCTGAACTATTCTCTAGTTCAAATCTTCAACATTTGTTACCTATTTTGTTAATCTTCAAATGAGTAATTTTACTCCCTCCCTTAGCTTGTAGAGTCAGTTTTCAACACACTAGGAATAATGCATCTCTATTATCATAAACGATCATCAGATCATTTCATTTTTGCAAATCTTCTGAAAGCATGAAAGCCAAACTCCCACTGTTGTGTGAGTAGTACGCTATGAAGTCAGTAAGCAGCAGTAGAGAATAGCGCAGTTTCTCATTGGGCTGGCACTTTAATCTGTACAAAATTAAAATGGTTGGTAAATTTAAGTCTTTGCTTCTAACATTCGCCCACCCATGGGCTTCCCTTCATTTCCTCTTACAAATCTGACCAATATTTTTAGTTTCTTGCCAAAGTGTCATCCTTGCTCTTCCATGAACTTGCCCCATCTGCCTACAGGGATTTTTCATTCCCCTTCTTTCTCCCAGATATCATTGTGGCTTATTCCTTTCCTCAAACACTATTTTCTCATTTAAAAAGAAAGGTTCCTATGGTTCTTTGCAGTCACCATTTCTGTTCTGCTTTACCTCACCTGATGGACCATATAGCTTATTTATTTTACATTTTCTCCTGAAGAATATGGGCTCTGCAAGTGCAGGGATTTATGTGTGTCCATTTACTGTCACATTGCCAGTGCCTTGAAGAATACCTGGAATTTGGTAGCAAGTACGAAAGGATCATTTGAAGATCTTAATTTGTTGCAATAAGTTGTATAGATATCACTGGAATATATTTAAAGGAATATTTTTGTTTTCTTATTTTCAAAAGCATCTTGCTATTGATCTCCCAAGGGGATTTTTTCCCTTTTTCGTGATAATAATATAAACCAAAAATCCTGACGCCCTTTTCCAAATTGGGTCTGTGCCCCAGAGCACAAGTATTGCTTCAGGGCTTTGGCTTTGCTTTTGTCTCTTGAAACTATGAAAAGTCCTTTTGAGGTTTAAACCCTAGTAAACTGCTCTTCACTGATTATCCTAGCTAATCCAGTATTTTTTTTTTTAATTGAGGAATCAAAAGACCACAATTGCTGCAGTATTGGAAATCAATTTCAGAGAAAATACATATACATTACATTTATTATAAAAGAAAAATAGGGCCCAGCGCAGTGGCACAGTGGTTAAGGTCCTCGCCTTGCACGCCCGGGATCCCAAATGGGCACCAGTTCTGTCCCAGCAGCCCCGCTTCCCTTCCAGCTCCCTGCCTGTGGCCCGGGAAAGCAGTCGAGGACAGCCCAAAGCTTTGGGACCCTGCACCCACGTGGGAGACCCGGAAGAGGCTCCTGGCTTCGGATCGGCATAGTATTGGCCGTTGCGCTCACTTGGGGAGTGGATCATCGGACGGAAGATCTTCCTCTCTGTCTCTCCTCTCTGTATATCCGCCTTTCCAATAAAAATAATAAAAAAAAAAATAAAAGGGATGATAAAAGAAACTGCGATCATTTCTATACAATAATCATAACACATATGAATAAATATTTTTGGTGATTTTAGGTTCCTTCCATTACCCAGAAATGTAAATATCATAGTTATTTATCCAGTTATTTGGTTTTGTATTTGATAGTTTTAGAGAAATTTAATAATTCAAAATCTGGACAGTTGACAGAATTGTTCCCACTTTTTAAAAAAGATTTATTTTACTTATTTGAAAGACAGAGTTACAGAGAGAGACACACAGAGAGAAAGATCTTTCATCCGCTCCCCAAATGACTACACTGGTTGAGCCATCCTCCCCCCCCCCCCCCGCTGTTTGGGCTGAGTACCCCATGATTTCAGTCACCAAATGTACTCTGAAGTGCTTCTTGGAGTAAGGAGTTTCTGATTTTTCACCTTTTGAGATTAATGTTTTCATGATTAACAAACTTGGGTTGGCTCTTATCCTCTACTACATTGTTGTGCCTTTTCCTACTTTGTAATAACTCAAGACTCCTATCACCTGCCAGATCCCAACCCCCACCTCCGCCTATCCATTAATGTGACACCGAACTGAAGGACTGATGGATGATACTGAAGGAACTATAACCTGAACAACAAGGATGTGCATGTAGAAATGATCTTAGAGACCAATAAATATGACAGTAGCTTTGTGGTGGGTAAAGATTCTGTTTACTTTTATGTATTAACTTGCACATGTTGAAATAAACCATGCTTCATGTCAGTTATACAAATGTATGGTGATCAGGGTCAATATTTTGGGAAAACATGTCTAGAGAGGAGACCAGTAGCATGTGATCAAGAGGTTTTTCTTTCTTTTTTATTTTTTTCTCTAATTGATCCTTAAAGTCTGTGCAGTTCAAGTCATTTGCCTCTGTAATATCTCATTTACCAGTTTTAAGCATGCGTTTAGTATCATTTCCTAAATAAAAGTTGAGATTTCAAGTCCAAGTATACACAGTGTATGGAAGACGCTGTAGTTCTTCTCTTGTGTTGATTTTTTTGTTTCCTGTCATAATTAATTTTATTATTCTATGTTAAGAATAAGTTTCCAGGAAAATTTTATTATTTATGTAAGCTTTATGATGAATTTAAAATTACAAAACAAGTCGTTTAACATTTCATTTCCTTTTTTAAAAAGAACTATCTCATGCCTGTTGATTTCAAAAATGAATAGAGTTCTGTTAAATAAAACGTCAATAATCAAATGTTAGATTCAGAAAGGTGACTGTGTGTCTATGCCTTTAATTTAACCTCATAAATTAAATTCCTGTAAACTGAGTCAACATCATATCAAATGCCTAAAAACAAGTTTATTGTTGAAATATACAGACATAAAATTGATGTTAATACTTGGAAATACTTTTCAAAACCGACTGTAACTCTATGTGGCTACATAAAATTCTTATTTTGCAGTTGTTGATTAAATATGTGAAGAAAATGCTATAAACTTTGTTACTAGCTAGATTTTTCTCCACTTTTAGGAAATGCTGACATTATTTATAATAGGGATAGAATCAGGATGTGAAAGAGTGGCAGTTATAAGCTCCTTTGTGTAAGCAGGTGATACAAATGGAAGATAATTTAAACTTATTTGGCTTATGCACTCAAGTTTATTGAGCATTCAGTGTGTGCCAAGTACTGCTCTAGATCTGGATTCAGACAGAAAGTCCTGCCCTCCCAGGAGCCGTATCCACTGGAGAAGACAGACATCAGCAATATGGGTAATGTGTCTTGTCATGAAGTGGTACTAGCTTCTTGTTGGATTTCTGACACTGTTTAGCTCATCTGTAAATGAAACCATAACTATATGAACAATAGTACCTAGATTTGGTGCTTACTTTCTTAACAATTAAACGGCTTTCTTTCCATGCAGGGTTACCATATAGTCTCCAGTCACCCAAGTGGTTTGGGGATGGCTACTGGTATAACCTCATGTCTGTCCTGTTAACACCAGGGCTGGAGATGCTCAGAACAAATGTGACTCAAAATCGGAATCTTTCAGCTTCACCCAGTTGCTTCAGCTGCGGACGATTTTGCTTCTCTTAGGGCAAATGTCATACCAGCTTAATTCGTTATCATTGAAAATTAAGCATGAATTTTCTATTAGAAAAGAAAATGAACTAAAGATTTTCAAGAGCTTACCATTCACTATTCCTATTCAATATGGGATTTCCCTCTACCTATAGACAAGCCGTAAACCTAGGGCTTCTGGTGATTCTACTCATTAACAAAGTTAAGGAAAGTCCCAATAATTTTTCAAGTTGTGCTATTTTAGCTAGTATTAAAGTGACAATTTCTTTTTTTTTTTTTTTTTTTTTTTTTTTTTTTTTTTTATTAACGTTGTATTATGTGACACAGTTTCATAAGCACTGGGGAGTCCCCCCACCCCTCCCATACCCCTTCTCCCGTAGTGGATTGCTCCATCTTGCTGCATAACCGCAGTTCAACTTCCGTTGAAATTCTTCCATTGTAAGCATGTTCCTAGCATAAAGTCCAGCATCTTGTTGTCCAGATAAGTTCAGTGGCCTCTTGGGGAGACCCTCTCCGGTCCGAAGGCAGAGCTAACAGAGTAAAGTTCCGGTCAGTTAAGACCCCCGACAAAACAACAGCGTCGCTATACAATGTTATGGGATTAGTTAGTATAGTGTTGAGTGAACAATATCCGCACCTCTGGGTTTAGACTGTATCTGTGACAGGTTCAAGAAGTAACAATCAACCAAGCATAAATTACAGGTTAAATCCAGGCAAACATTAGATGTCTGACATAGTATTGAGTAGACAATATGTTAACACTATATGTAAGTTCTTGATTACCTTCTACCACTATTTCAGTGTCACCTCCTCAATTGAGGTGTGTAATGATTTTGGGGGGTGTTGCAGAGAAATCTCTCATACCTTGCTAATGAGTCTTTATGTTCCATCTAATAGTATATGAGTGAGTCTCTGATGTCCTATCTCTATTGTTCTTTGGTTATCTCATCCTATTAGTGTGTGTATATGAGTGTGTGTGTAAGTGTGTGTGTGTGTGTGTGTAGGGGGAGAGGGGGTTTAGGAGTAACCTTGTTGGTCTTTATAGAGGGTGGAGGCCCAGAGCTGAAACTAGGTAAGGACTGGAGAGGATTCCTCCCCCACTGTCCCGCCGAAAGTTTATTGATCTTCTGGTTCTGATGACCAATCGTGGTTCCTAGTTGTTGTTCTGATGTCGTTGGTTCCTATGTGGAAGGACTCAGGTTTCTTCCATCTCATGTAGTTGGTCCAAAGAGAGGGGGTGTCTGTCCTCTGGGTTCACAGCATTCGGAGGCATTCCAAATCCCCGTGTTCTCTTTGGCGGTTGCGTTGACGTTCCTGTGTCCATTCTGATGGACCTTGGTGGGAGTCCGGGAGTCCTTATAGGTGGGGGATAAGCCTCCTCCAGTCCCTCTGTTCCGCTCTGGGGTTCTCCCCTATTCTGTGCATATGACCACTTGTTAATAGACTGTTTGGGTCATTCCTGATTCCCCCTGTGTGTTTCTTGATAGTGTGTGGTATTTTATGAGAGTTTTTGGATTGCATTAGGTAGTTAAGTTATAAATTAAATTGAAGAACAAAAATAGGAACATCTAAAAGTATGAGTAGAGTAGAAGAATGCTATGAATATTTACTTTAAATCATTTTGACAGAGCCACAAAAAAATAGAATGTTGCTGCTGCGGACAGCAGCTTAAGGTGCTGTATCACAGCACTGGTTCCTCTAATTGTACTTTCGTTGAGTTGTACTTCTCATGAGGTCTCTATAAATTTCATTCGTTCATTTACTCCATACTAAAGATTTAGGCCATGAACTAAAAAATAATTGCTTCATAAAACATTTAATTAGTATTATTATAAAGCTTTTTGGGGGGCACAGAATTTTAAATCTTATTTTTTCATAGTTGTTCTTTTTTGTTAATGAACACAGTGAAATTTTTATGGTAATTACTCAAAAAAAAGTGTAACAAACTGTTGAAATATTTCAATATTTGTTAAGTACCTGAAACTATCTAAGCATATATTTAAGTATTTTAAATAGTTATGAGGAAATTTGTCAATAATTTGATTAATCAAGACTGCAAAATAGGTAATTTTTAATACGCAAGTAAATACATAAATCAATAAACTTCTTACTCCTCATTCTATCAAAAGTTACTGCCTTTTATTAGCATAATAGATGCAACTGCCTGAAGATCCTTCAGAGATGAACAATCATGTATTTCATTTTCTTAGCATATACTAAGGCATTTATAGGCTGTTTTGATGTAGATCACACAACTAACTAAGCAGCGAATCTCAACTAGACTGGTAAAGCTGTTATTTTTATTAACTTTCCCTAGGTGTTCTCACATCTTCTAATCAACTCTGTCCTACTCAGACATGCCCATTTCGTTTTCTGTATGTGGTTTTTCTTACCTTAGAATTCTGGATAAGAGTTAAATTAGGTGAATATCCTCTAATACAGAAGGAGCAGCACTCAGGAAACTTCACATTAAGAATAAATTTTACACATCAACTCTTCCTCTCAGGATTTAGCAATAGATTTTGAGTGAGCCCAGTCAAGGAAGAAAGGGAGATTTCAGCCGGCTTATGTCTAAACCAAATGACAGTCACTCGATAAATCTTGGGTTTAGAAACATGCTCCTTGCCTTCAGAAAAACATAATTTGAATTCTTTTCCCACACCCTTTCAGGTAATCCTCATTTGTCCATTAGAAAGAGAGAGTGGCTGAACATGAACATTCGATTTAGCTCTTAACCTTTTCCTCTGATTACCATTGATTTAAGGCAAATTGATGTCTAAGATATGGAGGAAATTTTGCCACTGTATGTCTTCCAAGCAACCATGCAGTGTATGGAGGTGCTGCGGGACTGCTGAGACATGAGCTCCTTGTTCAGGGTGACCACACGTTTCCCTCTTGTATAAACTGATGAGGTGATATCCTTTCCGTGTTTATGGTTATTGTATTAATTTTGTGGATTAGGATTTTAACACATTAGGATTTCTCAAATATTAAAAATAGGAATTTTAGAATTTAATATATTTATTTTAATAATTATTTTATTTAAATGTGAGCAAATGCTCAGTGTTTTACAATATACTGTTAGTAGCATAGTGATACTCCCAACGCCTCTCCTTCTGTCCTCTACCCACGCATCCTACGACTTCCGTATTTCTTTCCCCCAAATGTTTATGCTGACGTATTTTCAATTCACTTCCCAATCACAAGCATACAACGTTTTTAATTCAGTTTACTGAAAGATAATTTAAAATTATGCATCATATTTTACCTGAGATCATTTTAGTATGACTACTGTAGAGTTTGAAAAATTGTGGTCTCAACATTATTACTTTGTCTAGCTTTCCAGTTGTGCTTTTGTCATGTTTAAAATAATCCTTGCGAACACCATATTAGCCTAACAGTGAGGATATATATCTCACTCATAATAATAATAATGAATGTTAAAATCATTATTACTACTGTCATATTTTTAGACTCATCTGTTTAAAAAATGGTATTTTTGAGAAAGTAAGAATTAAATACAGCATATCTCCATACATACATTATATATGATAAATTTCAAATCTGTTAGAAATTTTAAAATATTTCATAATAAATCATATGTAAGAGTATCAATGGAAAGTGTGAAAGAATGATTTCTGAAACTTGAAATTGGTGATTTTATACTTATAAAGTAAACTCAAAAAGCTGTGGGTCTGGCACAATTGCTCAATGGCTAATTCCTCATCTTGCAAGTACTGGGGTCAGAGATGGGCACTGGCTGTTCAACTTTCCATGCAACTCCCTGCTTATGGCCTTGGAAAGCAGTAGGGGGTGGCAAGCCTTGTTACCCTGCGCCCACATGGGAGACCCAGAAGAAGCTCCTGGCTCCTGGATTTGGATTGACTCAGTTCTGTTGAGTCATTTGGGGAGGGAACTGTTGAGTCATTTGGGATGGAAGATCCTTCTCTCTGTCACTCTTTATCTCCATAAATATTATCTGATTTTCCAAGAGACAAAAAAACAAAACAGCTAAAAATGAAATTTAACAATTTCTATTTGGAAAAATCAGATTAAAGACGTGAAAATGGATTTGTATCAGAAACACAGAGCTATGTTCCCCAATATATTTCAGGTCTTTCAGAAATTAATAAGAAAAACAGCTCAATAGAAAAATAGACATCGTATGTGAACAGATGGTTTGCAGAAGAGAGGTTACAGTGGTTCTGAAAATAATGAAGGGACTGTAGTAGGATGAGTGAAATAGAAAAATTAATTGCCCTCACCAAAACCAAAAACAAAAGTGAAGAACATCCCAGTAAAATAACACCAGAAGAATAAATCAAACTTTGAAAAACTCATTACTAAAATGACAGGACCAAGTTACCACCTATTCATTTTAACCTTGAATATGAAAGACTTAAAACCATCAATTAAAGGTCATAGATTAAAAAAATAAACAAAAAATTCAGCTATCTGTTGCCTAAAGGAGACACATCTCACAAAAAAAGATAAGTGGAAAATGTATCTCATGGATTTTCGAGGTTTTGTTTTTATTTTTTTCATTTCTTCAAAACATTTCTTTTTCCCTCAGATTCCTCACTGATTCAAAGGTCATGCTGTAGTATCATTTTCTTTTACATTTCTTTGGTGATACATCAATCATTCAGTAGTAAGTTACTTAATTTCATGGTGTTGTAAATTTCTATTTTTCTTGTTGATTTTGTTTTGTTGCTTTCCATTTAAAAGGATATATAGTAACTGTGTAATTGAGGCTATCATATCCAGATGTAAGGATACAATGCAGTGTGCATCTCTACTTCCAAATCAAAGATGGACTCCCAATTAAACTGTTAAATATTTCTTGAGAATAGGATGCTGGTCTCTGCCATTGTCCATGCTGCAATGATGGACATATGAGGGTTGATGAAGAACTATAGTATTAAAATAATATAAGGAAAATCAGTGTGTGGGGGGAAGAAATTTGAGGGGTAAGGGGAATCGAATAGCATATGGAACTGTATCATAAATATTAATAAAAAAATGGAAAAATTTAAACCATGCAGGATGATACTGGGAAAACGTTCTCTGTTACACTGCTATTAGCAGGGTGCATTTCCTTGAGTGACAGTATGATAAATATTGATTACAACTACAAGTGGAAGTATGCTTTGACCCAGATACTCCACTTCTGGAAATATGTTCTTCAAATATTCATGTATGCTTACCTATCTATGTCTGTATTTATTTCTATATCTGTATATGTATATAAGTATGTATAACTGTACAAAGATATTCATGGACCATTGTTGATAGAGTAGAAAATTTGAGGAAATTTTAAGAAGTGTTTAAAAGATATATGTCCATAGATATGATATAATATAGGTCTAACATAACATATTTTGACTGATATAACCATTAAGACAAATGCTACACAAGGCATGTACATACACATTGACACGCACAAAGCAAGGAGACAACATATGTACTGAAATAAAACAATTACCAAGATAGAATGCTAATTAAAAAAGTTTTATGAAGCATGCTGTGTTTTTTGTAAAACATTGGGAAGGAAAAAAACTATCCATATTTGTTAACATATTCTTAAGGAAATGTAGAAGTATATAAAAGAATAAATACATGCTTTTTGTTCTGGGAGTTAGAAGCTGGGTAGATTGGGTCATGGGTGCATTGTTCTCTCTTAGTACTTTTCTACAATTTTTTCATTGTTGAGCTTTCTGAATGCATTACCTATTAAATTTTTCCAAAAAAATTATATTTTGCTATCTTGCAATTTTATTGCTGCTAATAAAGTCTGTAAATTATTACTCAAAGAATAAGCAGGTATTCACAGTTCAGTTTAAGATCTAAAAATCCCTCAGCAATAGTTTTAAATTTCTTTGTGTGTTGCTAAGTTATGTCCTCTGATTTCTTCTGAAACATAAATGTCAAACCTATGCTGAGTACTGTCTCTATGCCACTTGTAACTACAATCTGTATTTGATTCTCTGAAAATAATTTTTTGCATGTTTGAATTTAAATATTGTCATACTATATATATATATATATATACATATATATTACAACTTCTTGTCATTAGGAAAGTAACTGCAATTTGTTAACATTATTTGCCTGAATGCCATGTATTTTCATTCCTAGAAATTTGATTATCACAAATACATTATAGAAGACTGATATTAAGTCTTTGAATTTTTGTCGGAATTCAGTTATTGAGACCTGATATTTTCCTGATGTTTTCAAACTATTGATACTCTACACTCCATGCTTTTGGGGCAATACTTTCTTTATCCAGTTGAGTCTTCTTATTTTTTGGCAATTGTATTTACTTTTCTGAAATTTTAAGCATTTTCAATAAATTTTGGAAAAAATATTTGCATAAATTTAATGATATTCTCCACTTTAGAAAATACAAATGGTGAGCTCAGCTCAATGGCGTGTGGGTAAATCCTCACCCTGCAAGTACTCAAATCCCATATTGGCGTTGGTTCTTGTCTGGCTGCACCTGGCTCATGTCCAGCTCCGTGCTTGGGGCCTGGGGAAGCAGTAGCGGACCACACATATTGGCCATGGAATCTTGTGAGGTTTATAGGAGACTGTGCTAAGACATTCCTGTCTCTTTCTTAATGCTCAGAATCTCTAAGTTGTCTGTAAAAGTGTTTCTTAACAAAAATCATTCAGTTCTTTTTATTTTACAAAATGATGTACTTATGTGAAATTCAGCGTGACATGGGGAGGGAGGAGACAGAGAGAGTGAAGACAGAAAAAAAATTTTGTTCCATGATTCACTCCTCAAAGTAGATTCACTCCTCGAAGGTACACAAAGTTGCAACAGAGCTAAACTGAAGCCAATTACCAGGAAATCCCTGTGAGTCCTCCTTGTGAGTGGCCTGAACCTTTGAAGCTGGGCCACCTCCTGCTCCTTCCCCATGCAACTGCAGAAGGCTGAGTCAGAAGTAAAGGTGGGACTTAACCAAAACACTCTGGTTCAGAATACGTGTGTCTTACTCGGTGACTTAGCCCACTATACCACAATGCATGTCCCGAAAAGCAGTTTAGGTGAGATAGAATTAGAAGATGCACTTTCTTTTATTTATTTATTTTAAAGATTTATTTTTATTGCGAAGTCGGATATACAGAGAGGCGGAGAGACAGAGAGGAAGACCTTCCGTCTGATGATTCACTCCCCAAGCGGCCACAACGGCCGATGCTGTGCCGATCTGGAGCCAGGATCCAGGAACTTCTTCCTGGTCTCCCACACAGGTGCAGGGTCCCAAAGCTTTGGGCCATCCTCCACTGCTTTCCCAGGCCACAGGCAGGGAGCTGGATGGGAAGTGGAGCTGCCGAGTTTAGAACCGGCACCCATATGGAATCCCAGTGCGTTCAAGGGGAGGACTTTAGCCGCTAGGCCACCGTGCTGGGCCCAAGAAAATGCACTTTCAAGATTTATCTTTTGCAAGATTTTTGGTGGTTTCTTCAAAGATTTATCATTTGTAAATCTATATAAAATCTGCCACAAGTTATTCAGAATATAAGCTGAAGTGTGACTTTTTGCATAGCCCCTTAAAATTGCCAGGGTAAAAAGATTCTATGTAAGTATTAATTATATAGATAATTAAAACACCTGATACTCATATTTATGGAAAATCAGGGGGAAATCCACTTGACCCTGTGAGTCATTATACCTTAGAATGTTAGTTGGGGCTGTGGCTTCTCAAATCAGATTTCTAACTGTTAAGTCTTTTGTTTTAGTTACTAGGGCTGCCCTAACAAACTGCCACAGAGTGTGTATAAAACGGCTTTCTCACAGTTCTGGATTCTGGATGTTTGAGATCAAGATGTCATCAGAGGAAGGTGGCCATTGAGGACAGTGTCCTAAGTGTCCACTTGAGATGCCTCCTCCAAATATGGAAATGTCCATTGGAATCTCCACTTCCCAATGCTTCTCACACAGCTTCCTTCTAAAGTGTCTGGGAGGCAGCAAATGCTGGCCCAAGTTCTTGCCACCAAAGTGAAAGATCCGGTTGGTGTTTCTGGCTCCAGAGTTACTTTGGGCCTAACTCTGGTGGTGGTCATCATTTGGAATACAAGCCCGTGTTTGGACGATCTGCCTGTGTCTTTCTCTCTGACACTTTGACTGTCGCGCCACCTTCTCATAGGATTTCAACATCATTGTTCCTCTATGGGCTCACACATGCCATTGTCTGAATCTTTTTTTCTAGAAGTCACATTGGATTAGAAACCACTTGAATGGCCTTGTTTTAACTTTATAACCCCTTAAAATGTCTTTTTTTCAAACATAGCCATATTGTGATATCTGGATATCTGGGGACTAATGACCTTACATTGTCATGTATGGGTTGGGAATATCAAGCCATATTTTTTCTCCTATGTACACAGTGATTGATTTGTTAAGCTAAATTTGACCTAAAAATAAAAAGCAAAATCTAAAATCCTTTGTAATTGCATACCTGAGAGCATAGTGAATTATACCATTTCTTGAAGTATAAACAAGCTGAGAATCTAATATTGGGTCGAATTCCTAATTCTAACAAATTAACTCAGTCTCAACCAATGACAACAGTCAGTATTCTGTTAAACCAGGTTGAAATAAGGAAAGCACAAATTTTAGTGAACTGAAATCTCTTTGAATCTCTTTGAATTCATTTACCTTATATTACATCCCTTGTTCTATTTACAAATATTATCCGGCACATGGCAAACCCAGAGTCTCACTGAATCCTCTCTCATTCTAGCAACTAACTGATTCGGGAATTGCTCACAGCTCAACTAATCCTTACTAAATTTAATTTTTCCAAAACTTTTATTTTAATACTTGTAACTGTTAAAGGAAAAGTAACACACAAAGCACTTTAGGATTGTGCCTAGGAAATAACAAATGTGAGCTTTTAGTGTTAATTAGTATAAAAGTTAATGTTAAATGTTTGAATTTATCTTGAAAATTATAAAACTTGAAGAAAGAAGGTAATAATGTAATGATGATAGAAAGAACACATCTAGTAGGAGATCTTCAACTTGGTTCTTGCTTTGCTCTAAATTCTTTGTCTTTTATATTTGTAAGGGTGGCAGACCTTCCACATGTCCTGGAGTTCCGTTTGAGGATAGAAGAAATGAGTATATTTTGGATTGGTGTCTCCTGTCTTCTACAACAGTCATCACTATTTTCTTTTACTACTAAGAAACTAACTCCCTGTCAGTTGGAGAATACAGTGCAATAAGCAAATTAAAACTGGATCAAGTTCTATAACTAGAAACCAGGGGAGACAAAGCTTATCAATTTGCTTGGGATAGGTGCTACTACACTGGCAAACAAGAGTCAGAAATAAAAATAAATTTTAAATAGCATTGAATATTGAAATAAATTGGTTATTATAGTCAATGTTTATATGTGTGTTATATTCACATTTCAGGATATGAAATATGTGATTATTGATGCTAAGTCACTAAAAACTGCATTGTACGCTTCGAATAAATGTGGACTATGGGAAAACATGTCATCTGCCACATAATTTTAGTGAAAGGAATATGTTAAAAAGGAGATATTACTTTTTTAATCTAATGCCTAATTTTTAATATTACTTTCTTTCACTTAGCTATATAGCAGTATTACAAGAAAATTGATCAAAACAGGATATTTTAATTTTTAAATAATTCCAATTAAGGGTCAGCATGATGATGTGTAGGTTAATCCAATGCCTGCATCCTCCATGAAAGTGCTTATTGGAGTCCTGGCTGTTTAACTTCCAATCCAGCTGTCAGTGTTAATACCTGGGAAAGCAGATGGTCCAAGTCACTGTGCCCCAGCTACTCACATGGAAGACCCGGCTGGTGATCTGGGGTACTGGTTTCAATACAATGCAGGCCTTGGCTGCTGCAGTCAGTTGTGGTGTGAACCAAGAGATAGAAGGGCTGTGTGTCTTTCTGTCTCTCCCTCTCTCTGAAACTCTGGTTTTCAAATAAATATATCTTTCCTTTAAGAACTCTCTTTTGGAATATAAAAGGGTGTTTTACTGAGTAGCATATGTCAACTGTTGCATGTTTTCTGAAATCCAGTTAGAATAATTGTTCATCTGTTTTCAGAATCAATATTTAAAAGATTTATTTATTTAGAAGATAGAGAAAAACTAAGGGAATGAGAAAGAGATCTTCTATCTACTGATTTATTCCATAAATGGCAGCAATCACCTAAACTGGGCCAAACTGTGGTTTAGAGCCAGGACCTCCAAGCAGACCTCGCGGATAGGTGGCAAGGATTCAAATACCTACACCATTATCTGCTGCTTCTCAGAACCAGTGACAGGGAGCTGACTCAACAGTATAGTATCCTGGACTCAGTTAGATTCTGTAATATGGATTACCAGCTCCGTAGCCATGGCTTAACCCATTGGATCCAATACCTAAGAGTTTATTTCAAATAATTTTATTGTAATAAAAATGCTGTTAAACTTATCCAGTACGTGTAGGTTTCTCATAAAATGTGTCAATGCAAACAAACTCTGAAATATAATATCTATCTCAGATCATTTCTTACATGTGTTGACATCTTTGGGTGTGTGTGTAAAATGCAGTAGCATGATGTGAATATTCTGTTTTATGAATGTCATGATTTCTAGGTCAAGGGAAGAATTAAATGAGAAATAGCCTGAAAATGATGGACGTTTTAAAAAAAGAGATTCTTGTTGCAAGTGTATATTTAAATTACTTGAAAATAATGATAGAACAGTTCCTCTTAGTATTTTTTTAATAGCTGAGAACAAATACAGCATATGACACCTCCTAGATGTCTGGTTTTCTTTCCTTTTTTTAAGATTTACTTGCTAAACAAAAGCACCATGTCATGTAAAAGAAGGAAAGTATAAGAAAGCTGTTTTCTACTGATTTGCTATTCCTAAGCAAGTGAGTGCCTTAAGCTAGGGCTGTATATCTCAGGAGATTTTCTCAGGACAGCTTGGCTGGGTGAATCGACAAAAGGTAAGACAAGAATAACATTTATGCTTACATTTATCTCATTCACTTTAGAAAATATCTGGCATTGAATTCGTATGTCTAATTGTACTGCATTACTCACATGACATGCAAAAAATCTTAAGTAAAGTTATGGGAACACTGACAACTAAAGCAGCCATTTATTTGGTTGATCAGTTTAGTCGTAAGCCTCCCACCAGTTCCCAAGAGTAAGTGCTAACAGTTCTTAAAGGGTAAGTATAAAGAGGGGTGGCGATGCAGGTAAAATGAACTCTGATTAATTAAAAGAAAGGCCTCCCTCCCCACCCGCCAGATGGAACCATTTGGAGTAGGAAGTAATAAATTAACATAGACTAAATCATTTGATTCTGTTGCCAGATAAAGGTTATTGGAGGTAGATTAACTGGTAAACTACTCAGAGGAAATATTCTTAAGGGACAAAAACCATTATTGCCATCAATTGGAAAAATTTAAATTGGCTCAAAACTCATTCCCAAGTGATAGGGAAATAGAACATTTCTTGATAGCATGGTATCTCACTTGGGATATTTGTATAATCTACATGATAGCAGAATTTGGCAGTCAGTCACAATCAGTGGAAATTCTGAAAATAAATACTTCATAGAACAGTGGTTTTTTAATGGAAAATCAATCTGAGTTTTAAATCTATTAGTGTAGCTCCTTTTTTTCTCTAAATTAAAGAAAGTATATAAAAATGCTGGAAAGAAAACAGAAAATATAGATCAGAAAATTCTCATTAATGAGTTTTAGTATGTAAGTTCTATTTCCCTCATAATGAATCAGTGCATTTATTTGATTTGCAATATTTATAAATAGAAAAGTAGAACATCTATTTATGAGGACATAATAACTGGAATCAGTTAAGCACTTTACAATCTCTCTTTTTATGAAAAATGCATACCTAGGCAAACAAAAAATAAGGGGAATATTTGAGCTAAAAAGGCAAATCGTTGAAGAGTTTGTATTGTGTTATATGGGGGCATTTCTGGACCTGAAGGTGAAAGGTAGGTGGAAATGGTTGCTATTTATTTCAATGGAGATAGAAATTTTAAAAAGCACTTGGATTTTGGAAAGGAGTGATAAATTAGGTGTAAGAGCTAACATTAAGGAGAGTGCACAAATCTTTGCTATCATTTAAAAGCTAAATAGAGAAAAAATCACTCATTCCCATATTCACAGGAAGCATGATAAGTTTCAACTTGGATTTTGGTGTCAAAAATTAAATCTGCTTGGATTACTCCTAACCATGGCCCACCTTTTTTGTCGCATGGATTGGGCATTCCAACTTTTCTACATTGGTGGCCCAGAAAAAGTGCATTCGAGGACAACACTTAATGAAGTAGTCTCTGATAGCAAGGCTCCCACAGTGCCTGGGAGCAGTCAAGGCACAACCGTACTGGAGAACAAGACACAGCCCTGATTCCAGGATTCAAAATCAAATCCCCTTGAAAAGGAGTTAACAGTATAAAGTTTTAGGATCATGAGAAATTGCATTAAGTGAGGTGGAAGGGAGAAGCTTCATATCTACCAAACTATATAATGGAAAAAAATTGTACAGACATTGTCCTAAGTTAAAATCAACAGTTAGCTACAGACAATGTAAAAGATATTATCCCCCTTAACATATAAGATATCAAATATAGACAATAAGTAAGCATGCCTATTATTTTTCATCATTCTTAGTAGACTTGCACAATTCTTTCTTCTTTTTCTTTAAAGCCACTGTTTATATTTATTTGAGACAGATTTACAGAAAGAAGAAGACACAGAGAGAGAGAGAGAGAGAAAGGGAAAGAGACAGAGAGATAATGAGAGAGAATAAGAAAGAGAGAGAAAAAAGAGAGGGGGTGAGAGAATCTTCAATCTACTATTTTATTTTCCAAATAGTTGCAAAAACCAGAGTCAGGGCTTCACCAGGTCTTCCATGCTGGTACAGGGGTCCAAGAATTTAAGCCATCCATTGATGCTTTCCCAGTCTACTGTTAGGAACCTGGATTGAAATTGGAGCAGCCAAGACTCAAACTGGTACCCAAATTGGATGCCAGGGCTGGCAAGCATATTAGTCTGTTGGCCATTGCACTGGCTCCACATTTATTTTTTTGATGAGTGGAATAGGGCTTGAATGTAAAACTACACTTTCAGAAAGAAATAGTGGAGAATTCCTAATGCCAGAATGGTGACATATATGAATATGTATAATTTATTTTTTAAAATGTATTTTTATTATTTTTTTTAAATTTTGTTTTATGACATGGTTTCATAGGTTCTGGGATTCCTCCAACACCTTCCTAAACCTCCCCCCATGGTAGATTCCTCCACATTGTTTCAGTAGAATAGTTCATATCCAGTCATAATTCCTTCATTGTGAGCATGTACCATGCATAGAGTCCAGAGTTCCATTGTCTGGATAAATTTAACAGTTTCATTGGGACGACATCTCAGGTCTGAAGGTATAGCTGGCAGCATATCATCCCCTCAAATGTAAAGCCACAACACAACATCAATAACAATTTATAAAATCATGGAATTAATTGACATGGTATTGAGTGACCAGTATGTTAGAAAATGCAAGTTCTTAACCACATCTACATCTCAAAATGGTTGTAGAGTACTATTCAGATGTCTCATGTCTATTTTCATTTTTATATTTAGCAGCTTGTAGTATTGAAGAGTGATTTGTACTGAACTCTTTCTGGTGCAGTGAGCTGTGACGATGTGGCATCTTACAGGTTCTATGCAGGATGGGTCTGAGTAGCCCTCAGTCTGATGGCCAGCGGATCAGGAACTCTAATAGTGGTGCATTTGGCACCGTTTGGTACAATGTGCAAAGAATTTAAGACAGCAGGGGACAACAGTGAGCTGAGCATCTGCTGAGTTTGTGAGAACTTGCTGAGCTTAGTGCATTGCACTGGTCCCACAAGAAAATAATACCAACTATTGCATCCAAAGGGTCAAAATAGGTCTGTGTGTCACCCTAACCTAATGGCCAACAGGTTCCTGCAAGATGAACACCACCAACAACCTAGCTATATAGAACACATGGTGTCTTCCTAATCCTGGAACTGCTCCAACTGAAAGTGGAAGAAAGAATGTACAAACAACAGCCTCAGCATAGTATCACAGGAGGTGGAGACTGGTGAGCCAGGAGCTGAGCTACAGAGACACGGTGAAAATTAAACATAAGAATCCAGACTTGAAACTTGCTGGAGGGAATGGCACAAATGACTGCAAACTAAGAGACGTATACCAACTGCAATAAATAAATTGAGTTGTAGACCTGTGGGTGACAGAGCTTAAAAATCTACCCCAAGGAGAAGAATCTGATAACCAGAAGTACAATGACCAAGAGCAAAAGAAAAGACAGAGGCACAAGGAATATCACTGAAGGATACCCTGCAAAAGAACAAAATACATCAGCAAACTCAGAGTTAACTCAGGAAAACATCAAGAAAATGGTGTATATAGTTGTCACAAAGCTTCTTATCAACAATGAGAAGCAAGTAAATCAGACATTGAAAGAATTTAAGGAATGTATCAGACAGGAAACGGATCAAATGAAAGTTGATATATCAGAAATGAACAATATAACAGAGCAAACTAAAAGTACAGCAGAGAATCTCCAAAATAGAATGAAGGAAGCAGAAGAAAGAATCTCAAAATTAGAAGATATTTTGTGTCACCAGGCGGAAACAACCAAAAAGCAGGAAGCAGAGCTGGATCAGGCCAAAACAAGTACTAAAGAATTAAAACACATTATTAAAAAGCCAAATATAAGAGATATGGGAGTCCCAGATGGTGCAGAAAGAGAAGCTGGGTTTACAAATGTATTTAATGAAATAAGGGCAAACTTCCCTAATCTGGAGAAAGAATTGAAAAGCAACATTCAGGAGGGCACAGAACTCCCAGCAGGCTTGACCAAAAGTGATCTTCAGCATGACACAGGATTACCAAGCTCTCTTCAACCGAACATTAGGAAAAGATCCTTAAGTATGCATATAAAAAATTAATTGACATATAAAGGAATGCCAATTAAACTCTCAGGAGATCTCTCACAGGAAGGAAAGTCTACAGGCTAGAAGAGAATAGAGTGACATATTCTAGATTCCAAAAGAAAAAAATTGTCGGCCCAGGATAACATACCTAGCAAAGCTTTTCTTTGTCTTTGAAAATGAAATAAAATTCTTCCACAGTAAAGAAAATCTCAAAGAATATGCCTCTTCCAAACCTGCCATACAAATGATGCTTAAAGATTTTCTCGGGGCCCAGCACCATGGCCTAGCAGCTAAAGATCTCACATTGAATGCTCAGGGATTGCATATGGGCACTGGTGCTAATCCTGGCAGTTCCATTTCCCATCCAGCTCCCTACCTGTGGCCGGGGAAAGCAGTTGAGGACAGTCCAAACCCTTGGGACTCTGCACCCATGTGGGAGACCTGGAAGAAGTTCCTGGATCCTTGCAGTCACTTGGGGAGTGAATCATCGGATGGAAGATCTTTCTCTCTGTCTCTCCTCCCCTCTGTATATCTGACTTTCCAATAAAATAATAGAAATAATAATAATTAAAAAAGAAAAGATGTTCTCATGACAAAGAAAAGGAATAGCAAACATTAAAACCAAAGGCAAATATGAAGAACATCCCAGTGAAATAGCAACAGAACACTAAGTCAATGAACAACCCATTTGTAAAATGACAGGACCAAATTACCAACCATTTATATTAACCATGAATGCAAATGGCTTAAACTCTTAATCAAACATCATAGATTAGTAGACTAGATTAAAAAACAAAACCCATCTGTTTGTTGCCTCCAGGAGACAATTCTCACCAACAAAGATCAGTGAAACTGTAGCTCATGGATTTTGTTAGTTTCATCTCTTCAAAACACTTTCTGTAATTGGATTATTCAGTGACTCATAGATCATACAGTAGCATCGTTATCTTCAAGAAGGTTGTTGATTTTCTTTTTCGTTTCTTCAGCAACCCATTAGTCATGTTATTTAAATTCATGGTGTGTTAATTTCTTCTTTCTTCCTGAGGTTGATTTTTTTGTGACTTTTTATTTAAAGGCATGTATAGTAACTATTTAATGGAGAATATTGTATCTATGTCATGTAATTTAACTTATGATGTTATAAATTTCTATTTTTCTTCATGTTGTTGATTTTGCATTGTGGCCTTTCATTAATGGTACATATAGAAACTATGTAATGCAGACTATCATATCCAGTTGTGAGACACGATGCAGTATGCATTTCTACTTCCAGACAAAGATGGACTCCCAATGAAACTGTTTACTATATCTTGACATTAGGATGCTGGACTCTTTGCCAGTGTCCATGCCCACAATGACAGGCATAAGACTGTTTATGAAGAACTAAACTATGGTAATAATGTCGGATAGCTCATTGAGGAAGGAGGGTATTGTGAAGGAGATAAGCAAAATCCCAGGGCCTATGTAACTGTATCATAGAATCATAATAATAAAAATTAGAAAAAGATGTAAAAAAATTTTAAATGAAAACATTTTTGCCAGGAAATTCTTTTTAAAATTTTTGTATGGAAAGCATATTTACAGACAGAGAAAAGAACAGACACTTGGAAATTTTCCAATAACTTGATGCCTCTCCAGATAGCTGCAGAGGGTGAAGTGCGACAGGTCTGAATGCAGAAGCCAGTATTCCCCTGGTTATCTTGGGTGTAGGGGCTGAAATACATGGGAGGTTTTCTGCTACCTTCCCAGACACACTAGCAAGCAACTAGATCAGAAATAGCACAGCCTAAACTCAAACCTGCGATCAAACTCTGCATGCAGTGGCTTAATCCACTATGCTACAGCACTGAATTCTGGAGGGAAGTCCCTGACTAGGGCAGAAGATATCATTGTCTGAAGGTCACTTACAAGGTTTGCTAAAACATGATGGTCTGATGCAGAGACAACAGAAATGATTGATGACCTATTTTCAAATTCCCACAAGCAGAAGTAGGAATCAGATACACAGCCCCACAGAAATAACTTTGGCATTTATGTTGAGTGATGTTAAAAAATTAGTTCCTTGCTTAGAGTGGTTAAACATATTGTGTACATCCCACTGTGACTAAAACAGGGGTCACCATGGATACACATTCTCACATGACCCAGGAAATGAATTTCAGCATCTTGATCAGTGTGAGGATGGATACCCATATTCATATTTTTTAGTATATTCTGGTCAATATTATTTATTTGCAAAAAGTCATATGCTACTTAGAGTTATAAATAATTTCCTATATGATTCACCTCTCTAGATAGTTTTGGA